CGCAAGGTGGTCCAGATCTAAGTCTCCTCTTCTATTTTCATATCGATTTCTCTAATAATAAACTTTTGTATCTATATATATATATATATATATATATAAACTTAAATCTCAACTAAAATATGTTTGTGAATGCTACAGGGTCCTGGAAGACAAGCAGATACCCCTTCACCAGCTCATAAGCGTCCGAGGAAGATGAAAGCCTCTGATCTCTAAAAATAAGTACTCTGGTGTATACTGACTTGCAATTTTTCATGTGTATGTATTTCTCCTTTTTTTTTCTTTTTCTTTTTCCGGTGATTTCAGTCACTGCCCCGTTTGGAGTTGTTAAGTCTTTCCATTTGTGATTTCAAGTCTCTTTACTCTTTGAAGACACCGGTTCTTCAACTCATTTACAGTACGACGGTCATGTAGAAAAATGAAGCTAATGAATTAATCGTAAATTAAAACCTTTGTTACCGTATCTCAAGAAGGTGATGAAGTATTGAAGTATAAGTATACAACGGAACAAACGTATTGAGATTGATTTTTGTGGCATTTGATATGAGTGGAGGAAGTTTTGAAAAACTTGCATGCGTTTCGACAGATTTGCCGTAAAATGTAGGTCTTGTGACTTAACATAAAATCAACTTTGAGGAGTCATTATTGTCTGGAAGCATATTGCTTAATGAAGTCGCGATTGACTTACCACATATCTTAATGAACGAAATGTATTTCAAGTAGAAAAAAAACTTATTAGATTTGTTACCATGATAAAGGGGCTCTTTCATGAATAAACCGAGTTAATTTTTCTATAGAATTTTCCAAAACTCAAAGAACATCTGTGTTTTGGAACATATTACAAAAATTAGGAATTAACTTTAGTAAAGCTTCGTAATGGTCGTCTTTATCATAACATTAAATCCATTTTTGTAAAAAGGTGAAAAACAATTATAAATTGTTGGAATCGGTGAGTTTTTAACACCTAAGTACTGTATGAGTTTTGGAACATTTTGCAAAAATTAGGAATTGAGTTTGATAAGCTTCTTTAGAATCCCTTTTATCACGAAATAAACTATATAATTTATTTAATTTAGTCTTCGGCAACATTTTACCTAAGAGTTTTAGAACATATTGCAAAAATTAGTTTCGTAGCACAAAAGAAAGAGTTTTAGAACATATTGCAAAAATTAGTTTCGTAGCACAAAAGAATAGGTCGCCTCCGAAGTTTCCAGGTCACACGGATGTTTTCCCGCCGGCATTTTGAAATTAACCTTTTACGGCCCATCATTTGGATCCTATATCCAAATCGCAAATGTTATGGTTTCTAGATTTACCAATACTTGTTTCTTCGTTCTCCCTTTAACAAAATCGGATATAAGATGGGGTAAGAAACAACCTTGTGATGGTCGACGAAACAATCTTATTCAGGTCAATAACTTCCTTGTGCTTTATTATAAATTTGCAATGTGATCAAAATGCATATGCTAAAAAAACATCACAAGAACGTTGTTTCCTCTTCCTTCAAACCCTTCCTCTTCATTTTCTTGTCTACTTACCCTTACCTTGTTTCTTCAACAAAAGCGCCAGTCTTTTCTTATCCCGAGCTTCTCTTAATGCCTTCGCATGGTCTCTCTGCTGCTGTCTCTTCTTCTCAAACTCATTTTCTTCATAACGTAACATTGTTCCTTTCATTACGTCTACTAACCCATGAACTTCAGAAGGAGCAGCTGGAATTCAATTTAGACCAGATCAAATATAAAACAAGAAAAGGAAAGACAAGACTTAGTAAAGAACTAGGGTTTCTTTAGGAGTCAGTACATACCGGAAGTGAGGAATGTACCCATGGCTGGACCTGTCATAAACATATATAGTTAGAATTACGATCACATATAAACTAATAAAAGGAATGACAATATTTGATTTGATTTTAGTAATAACTATCAACTAAGGTTAACAATAACAAACCGGTGTTTCTCGTTATGTTTGCTATCATATTAGCCTCATCTAAGACCTCAGAATCTGAAGCAGCTGAAAGAAAGATGAGATTACATATAATAATTGAAAAAGAGAAGAAGATTTGATATGCTAAAGAACTATGAATTATGTTAACATAACAATCAGATTACAAACCGTTTGGTGTTTGGTTAGCTGTGATCACAGAGGTTGAAGCAGTAGCTGGAATTAAATATAAATCAGATCAAATATAAAATAAGAAAAGGAAAGACAAGACTTGATGAGAGAGGAGAGAAACCTATTTCCAATTGTGTGCCATAGAATGACTACTTAATTACGATCACATATAAACAAAGAAAAGGAAAGACAATTTGTTTTGATTTTAGTAATAACTATGAACTAAGATTAACAGATCACAAACCAGTGTTTCGCGGTTGGTTTGCTATGGTATTAGCCGCATCTACAATCTCAGAATCTGAAGCAGCTGAAAGAAAGATGAGATTACATATAATAATTGAAAAAGAGAAGAAGATTTAAAATGCTAAAGAACTATGAATTAGGTTAACATAACAATCAGATTACAAACCGTTTGGTGTTTGGTTAGCTGTGATCACAGAGGTTGAAGCAGTAGCTGGAATTAAATATAAATCAGATCAAATATAAAATAAGAAAAGGAAAGACAAGACTTATTAAGGAACTAGGTTTCTTTAGTAGTCAGTACATACCGGAAACAGGGTTAATACGCATGGCTGGACCTGTTATAAACATATATAGTTGGAATTACGATCACATATAAACTAATAAAAACGAAGGTTAACAGATCACAAACCAGTGTTTCGCGGTTGGTTTGCTATCATATTAGCCTCATCTAAGATCTCAGAATCTGAAGCAGCTGAAAGAAAGATGAGATTACATATAATAATTGAAAAAGAGAAGAAGATTTAAAATGCTAAAGAACTATGAATTAGGTTAACATAACAATCAGATTACAAACCGTTTGGTGTTTGGTTAGATGTGATCACAGAGGTTGAAGCAGTAGCTGGAATTAAATATAAATCAGATCAAATATAAAATAAGAAAAGGAAAGACAAGACTTAGTAAGGAACTAGGTTTCTTTAGTAGTCAGTACATACCGGAAGCAGGGTTAATACGCAAGGCTGGACCTGTTATAAACATATATAGTTGGAATTACGATCACATATAAACTAATAAAAGGAATGACAATAATTGTTTTGATTTTGGTAATAACTATGAACTAAGATTAACAGATCACAAACCAGTGTTTCGGTTTCCAATTGCTGTTATAATAACCTCATCTATGAAAACAGAATTTGAGGCACCTGAAAGTAAGATGAGATTACACAAGATTCGATATAATCTACGATCAGATTATGACCCCAGATCAAATATAAAATAAGAAAAGGAAAGACAAGACTTAGTAAGGAACTAGGTTTCTTTAGTAGTCAGTACATACCGGAAGCAGGGTTAATACGCAAGGCTGGACCTGTTATAAAGATATATAGTTGGAATTACGATCACATATAAACTAATAAAAGGAAAGACAATATTTGATTTGATTAAGTAATAACTATACACTAAGGTTAACAGATCACAAACCAGTGTTTCGCTTTCCGATTGCTGTTATAATAGCCTCATCTATGAAAACAGAATTTGAGGCATCTGAAAATAAGATGAGATTACAGAAGATTCGATATAATCTACGATCAGATTATGACCTAGGTTAACATAAAGATCAGATTAGAAACCAGTTGGTGGTTGGTCAGCTATGATCATACCTTCCACAGGCACAGAAGATGTGGGATCAATCCCGGGTGCTGGATGTCCTACTTTACCAGAGATTGAAACAAAAAAGGTGATTAAAAATGTTACAAAGGGATTTTAAGCTAAGTTTTGGTATACTTACAGATATTAAACAAAAAGGAAAAAATTTCTCGTAAATGGAAATAAATTTTTGATCGGCTACCTTGGTGAGAGGGTCTCCAATTGTGTGCCATAGAATGACAGCAGTTTTGGTTGCAAACAGGATGATCTTGATAAAGTTTATCGTAATCTACGTCTTCGGTATCAAAGCTGAACATGGCTCCTTGAGGTTCATGATCATCTAGAAGTTCTTCCATCTGGAAATTAGATAAGGTCATAGAACAAGCAATCACATTCCAGTCAACTTTTAGTCTAATCCAGACACAAAAAAGCTAAAGTTTCTGAAAAGAACTTCAGAAAGATACAATCATAATGCCGTTCTACTTCAAATCTTAATCAAACCAGCACCAAATTCTTGAGAAACTGAGAGGCGTTTCCTGAGAAACTGAGAGATATCGACATATAATCCTCTTATTCTAAACAGGTTGCAGAAATTAAAAAGTACCTTAGAGATTTCTGAGAAAGCTTAATGAGAAAGAAGCGTTTCCTGAGAAAAACCGAGATCAATCATAAAACATGATCAATATCGAATCAAATCGTACCATAGGTTGCAGAAACTGGAAATTACCTAAGGGATGGATGAGAAACCTTTCTCAAAGTTGAAATACGCTCGGAGAAATTTGATGAATAGCTGGAAATCAAAAATTTAAAAAGAAATGTCGACTGTGATCAAAATCAAACCGAAGAACTTGAGAAGATATCAGAAGAAGAAGAAGAAGAAGAAGAAGAAGAAAAAAAAGTAGAGGAAGTTCAAGAGAATTTACCGTCGCTTTAAGAGAAGAAAAACTTTCCAAGAAAATTCTTCTGTCGCTTAGAATGTCAACTGTGATCAAAATCAAACAAAAGAACTTGAAGATATCAGAAGAAGAAGAAGAAGAATAAAAATGTAAAGGAATTTCAAGAGATTTTACCGTCGATTAGCCTCTACCGTCGCTTAAGAGAAGAAGAACTTTCTGAGAAAATTCTTCTGTCGCTGACAATGTCGACTGTGATCAAAATCAAACCAAAAAACTTGTGAAGATATCAGAAGAAGAAGAAGAAGAAAAATGTGAAGGAACTTCAAGAGATTTTACCGTCGATTAGTTTCGTCCGTCGCTTAAGAGTAGAGAAGAACTTTCCGAGAAAATTCTTCGAGCTCTGGATTGATAGAATTCTTTTTGGAGAGGGCAAGGACTGTGTTCGGTTAGAGAGAGACAGAGTCGGTTACAGAGTGCGAGAGAGAGAGAGAAGCAGCAGCTCTAACGGAATTTCCCCCCCCCCCCCGAGACACCAGCCAATGCAGGGTTGACACCTGGCATGAAGAGCAGAAGAAGACCACAACCTAACCTTCGCAAGATTGCCTTGACTTACTCACCGGGGATCTCATCTTTGGCCGTAGATCCGGTTCGTGGTTCTTTTCAGTTTCGGAATTTTTTTTCCCTCCAGAAACACCAGCCAACGAAGGGTCGACACCTGGCATGAAGAGCAGAAGAAGACAAAAACCGAACCTTGGCAAGATTGCCTTGACTGACTGACTCACCGGGGATCTCATCTTTGGCCGTAGATCCGGTTCGTGGTTGTTTCTATTTGCTTCTACGAGGTTCCTTCAAACTGCCTTGAGAAATATCAACCGATTGATGAGCCATGAAACAGAGCCGCGTACCAGAGATTTGAGAAATGTGAGAAGCCATTTGAGAACTGAGAAATGTTTAGGGTTTTTTTTTTTTTGGAAGAGAAGAAACAAACGTTTGAGAGGTTTGGTCGGGGGATACAGAGGTCCCTCCTTCATATCATTTCTTTTTCTTTGGTTACGTGTCATGTATCTGACCCTTAAATTTCTCATCTCCATCTGTCCCTCATCGCCACAATCACTATTAAAAAAAAAAAAAATTAAAAGGGCCTAAAAACCCAAAGGCCCATATAGTTTGTACAATTTACTGTTTTCTATTGAGGTTATATTGTCTGGTTTTAGTTAAATTCATGTGGTTATGTTAACCGATCAATATATTATTACATGGTTTTTTCTACATACATTATTACATTTTATCAATATGTCACGGTAAAAATATATTATAAAAAAAATTATAGAGAATAGAGCCTCTTGTTTCTGATGACTAGACAGTAGACAACTTAAGGACACCTCTATGGGGAGTTCTCTTCTGGGCATCTCAACATTAAAAAGCAAAAAGAAAATTTAAAAATATGTACTTATCTGTTCTTTGTTCAGAGGTTGCAGAACCTGTGAGAAATAGTGATGTGGTCAGTTTTGATTGGTTGAAAAGAATTACAGAAACAAAAAAAAAATCTAACATGTTTATTTTTCTTGCTTTTTTCTTTTTTTTTGTCTTCTTTCGTCTAACACAACTTTTATCTCTTATAAGACTAACATTATAGAAGTATCTTAAAAAACTAAAATACCCTATAATGTTGTCCTAATCACTCTAAAAAATTATAATAAAAAAATATTAAAAATTTATGATGGGTTCTCTTTGTTGGAGGTGGTGTAAGACATTATAATTTTACATCTTATAATTAGAAAAAAGTACGTCGACCATATATATTAAAACAAAACAAAAAAAACCTTGACATATATCAACACCTAGTTGTTTTTTTTTTGTTGGAAACCTAGTTTCGTTGTTGGTAACTAACATACGTAACGTTACATTTTTCTTACATCCGACTCCAGTTCTTTTTCTTCTCGGGCCAGTAGTAGGATGGTTCATGGCTGTATTATTCTTCTTGTCTGGATATCTCTTCTTCTGTATTACGGTTACGGTCACGTGTCCAGAAGCTACACGTTGCACTCCAAGTTTGAGGATTCGGTTATACAAGGAATCCATGTCAACTCTAGTTTGACTTTTTTGCCCCTGGGACTGGCGGGAAAGCGGATGGAATAGTATATGTTTTCTTGGTGAGGACGTCAGGGTTTTAAACATCGAGAAAGAGCGAATTCTATAAAGTCAAATTTTTAATATATTCGTTTCCGTGAATGTGATCTCTAATTGCATCATTTGTGTACCACTTAATATTACAAGTATATGCAAATAAAGTGTGTACATGAAACATAAAATAATATAAATCATAAATTTAATCCATAAACATTTTCCTAATTATTACATTATTAGCTATTCACAGCAACTTATTTTTATTATTATTTTCACCGTTGTTCACATAAACTTTTATGTTACAACAATTATGTCCACTACTTTCGGCCAAAAAAGAAAAAAATATATATATGCATCAAACATTGCAGAACAATTTCAATCGAAAATCACATCCGGTAACACCGTGTGTTTACAAGGAATAATCGGTTGAAATTTTGATTAAGTCTGAAAATACTAAACAAGTAGTACAGATTCAACGAAAATTCTAATAATAGAATCTCCGTCATAACCGAATCATCTCTCGTATAACAAGAAATACCAAATCGCTTTTGTAATACGGAAAAGCGATTAGAGTCATATATACAACTAAATTAAAGTCAACAATTCGTCAAAGGTTCTTTGTGGTTCATATGGTTTGAAATTTAACTAGTTAAGAACTTGGTTCAGTTTAATCGGTATTCGGTTACTACATAACGACATGATGATCTAGAAGCACAAGGAGCCATGCTCGACATGGAGGAGGAGTTTTTTACACCAGACATTTTGGAGATCGAGCTAGTTGCTCCCAAGGTTGTTGCCATTCTATTGAATATATACATCATATTTCTTATTTCTCTGTACATGTCGAAGAAAGAGTAAAACTATTTAAATTGTCCAAAGAACAAATCCCGCTTGATGAACAAGGTAACCGAACTAAAGTTTGTGCACTATTTTTCCTTTCCTTTTTTTTTTAAAGATTCTAGAATAAATAAGTCTTTTAGAATTAGTTATGTCTTTTTTTTTTCGGTTTACAACAGTAAAACCTCTATAAATTAATACTCGATAAATTAATAATCTATATAAATTAATAATTTTTCCGGTCCCAACCTGGAACCAATGTAATTTTAGATATATTTCCATAAAATAATAAGATAATATTTTTTTAAAAAAATGCTTTATAAATATATGGTCCCATCAATATTATAAATTAATAATTAGGTAAAATTTTCAAAATATATGTATATATATAGACACATTAATTTTTGTTAGAGTTTATTTCTAATATTTTAATATAAAAAAATAGTTAGCATTCTCTTCCAACACATAATAATAATTATTTTCTATGTAATTGATTATATAAAATACTAAATATCATGATTAAATCTTATTTTTAAATATTTTTTTTGAAAAATAATTCCAAATTAGGAAAATCTTTCTATAAGATGATAATTATTAATTTATCCATAAATTAAAACTTCTATAAATTAATATATTTTGTGTTCTTATGATGGATTGGTGACTTTAATTTATCTCTTACCATATCTCTGAATGTGTTACTTTAGTTGAGAACTTCTTTTATTATGAGGATTTTTTACAATTGTGCTGTTGATTTCCCCTTTTCTGCACAATTTTGCTCTGTTCTTTATTTAAGCATGTTGAGATGTTTGAATCCAGGCCAGATCGTTAAGTTACTTACAGGTTTAGAGTATACCGTTGGCGATTTTCACAATTCTCCTTTCTCCATCGAGTCAAAGAGATGATCCTAAGCTAGGTGTGTTGACACATGTCCTTGAGTCTATAGACTGTGAATCAGTGGGATTGCCATTGAGCTGACTTGCCTGAGTGAAAAAGATACCAAATGAAACAGTTTATAGAGCTCTCTTCTCTGTGTATTGACCAAGAGTTTTCAGCGCATGATGGCTCCATCTCAGCCATGGAGTTTTCTCCTGATGGGAAATACAAAGCACAAGCTGATGAAGACTGCGTTGTCCAAATTTAGAGCATAACTGAGGAATAGAGAGAAGACAAGTATGAAGTGGCTGAGCAAGGTTCATTCTGGTGTTTACTTTGGCGTGGACCAACGTTTGAAGATTGAGTATCTGAAAATTCACAATGACAAACCAGAAAATAAAATTGCAAGTGCAAGTTGTATGAGGAAACCATCAGATTCGACTTGCGTTGTGTTACCCTCCTCTAAGATCTTCAATATATAAGAGAAGCCCCTTCATGAGTTTGTAGGTCATATAGGTGAAATCTTGGATCTTACCTGGTCAGAGAAAGGGATAAATATTGTCCAACATTATACTATCTTTGATTTATGCCATATATGTCCTCTTACCGTTCTTCATGTACTTCAGTATCTCCTGTCATCCTCTGTGGATGAGACTGTCCGCGTATGAAGAGTAGGTCCTGATGAATGTCTCAGAACTTTCTCCTAAAACAATTTTAGTGATCTTCTTCTTTTGGTATTTTCATCCTACTTCTTTGTTGTATATAACACCTCACCCTGCTCACACAGTGACTTGTGTGGCATACTAGCATTCAACCCTTTGGATGATAATTACTCTATTAGCGGACTGATTAATTGGAAAGTTTTGAAATATGGGATGTTTTTTCGTTGTTGACTACACTGATATAAGAGACATTGTAACATCTATGTGCTTTTAAGTCCAGATGCAAAGGTTGTTTGAAAACTTAATCCCTTATATGTTTTTCCTTATTACCATATTGTCACTTGCTTTTATTTTACTTTTCAGGGTGCAGTAATAGATTACAGAGAACTGTCGCTTCTACCATATACCTTGTACGCTATTTACTTACAATTAGTTGTTGTAATGGTTACTGTTTTAATGACTTTAAGAACATGTAGATAAAGTAATGAATGATTAGCGGTTTGTTGATATTGTGCAATTCAGATAACCATTAACCAGCTGCAAATGGACAGAGAGATCAACTTACATGGGACGAAAAAGGGTTCCATGCAAAAGGATCGCTAGTCTCTTTAGACTTTAGATATCATGTCTAACATAGATCTTTTTCTTGATACTGAAGTCTCTTACGGGTAAACCATTCTCTCATGTCAGTCGCTTAAGAGAAGCTTTTATACTATAAAACCGCTTAGTCTACACATTCCTTGTGCAGGCTTACTGGTCAGAGGAGGAATGCTGAACTTGCTTTCGGTTGCTAAAGCTTTAGCTCCACAAGTGGAGTCAATGATTTCTTTGATCTCTCTGTTTCTATTTCATGTTGCGCCAGTGCTCAAAAACCCCCAATTCCCAATCTTCGCCCTCGTTGAAATCAGTCAAGTGTTGGAAACCCTAACTCCTGAATCGGAGTAGGTCCTGGTCGAATCGAAGCTCAAGCTCGTGGACGGGATGATTTCGGAACCCTAATTACAATGGGTGGTACGGACGCAAAGGACATCCTCGGGTTGCCGAAGACTCCACTGTCCTTAACGCAGGAGAAGAGATCTCGACCCCAGAAAGAGTCCCATAGAAAGCCCGATGGCATTTCTCGCGAGGTGAGTTCTGACGAACCGAAATAATCCTTCGGAATCGATTGATTTTATTAGCTTTTCAATGACTTTTAGTTTCCGTCGCCGTTGTTGAATTGCAGGTTTATGCGCTTACCGGCGGCGTTGCTCCTCTTATGCCTTCAATTGATGTTGCCCATTTAAAGCGCCGTCCTCCTGCAGATGAAAAGGTCGGCTGCTGCTTTTACGATTTATCTTGTTGTTTTGAGTTTTGAGTTGATTCTTGTTTTGTATGATTCTAGTGTTAGTATGCTAAGCGCCCTTATCATCTCACAGGTTGCTTGGCAATGGCTCCCCTTCACCAGTTCTGCTAGGAAAGATGATTTGCAGCTTTACCATTGGGTTAGTTCTTTGTCTGTGAAAACGCCATTGTTTGAAAGAGCTTAACCATTTCGTTCTTTCTAATGCCATGCGTTTGGGAATTTATATCTTCACAGGCTAGAGTGGTGAATAATGTTCCACCGACAGGTGATTACTCCTTTGCCAAATACAACAAGGTATTCTACTGCGTTCATGATTGTCTCTCTTAGTTTCATTGAGTTACTTTCACTTTCCTCTCTCAGTTTCTGCTTTTTCTGACTTCATTTTCTAACTCCTATATAATTGTTTGTATCTTTGCGTGAATGCAGTCAGTTGATATTTTGAAATACACAGACGAGGAGTATGAGAATCATTTAACGGATCCTGTAAGTGTCTGCTCAAGGAAGAGTTTCTGTTTGATTCTATTATCTATGAAGTATAGACATTTCCTGCATAGTTTCTGTACATGCTTGTTTTGGATTATGTCATCTTGGTTGATTGTGCTCCAACTTTCAGGTGTGGACCAAGGAAGAGACAGATCAGTTGTTTGAATTCTGTCAAAATTTTGATCTCCGCTTTGTTGTAATAGCTGATCGATTTCCGGTATCACGGACTGTCGAGGAATTGAAGGATCGTTACTACAGTGGTATATGATGCACCTTATCTGTTTTCAGACCATTATACGTTCACTTTTACCTTGTCCTTTCATTTGTTTTCATCTTTTATCTCTCTGTTTCTATTTCATGTTGCGCCAGTGTTCATTTAAACAATACAAGTACTGAGATGACTCTTACGTACTTTCTTTTGTAGTAACCCGGGCCTTGCTGCGTGCTAGAGCTCAGTCTCCAGCAGATGTTGCAAACCATCCTCTGATGAAGGTCAACATCCTCTTATGTTTCTTCATAGCAAACTATGAAATCTTATATACTATATTTTTAGTTTATTGTGGCAATCTATCCTTGTCGTGTTATACAGAGTGAGCATTTCTCTAAATGTTGTTTTACTATGTGTTGGCATAAACAGGAGCCTTACGATATTACACGTGATAGAGAGCGCAAGCGAGCATTGTCTGTAGTCCTGTCCCAGAGTAGGCATCAGGAGAAGAAAGATG